GTTTGGGGATAGTGTGGGCTTGTGGTGATGTGGGTAAAGTCCCAGAGGCCCATTGTCTGAGATAATAGTCTCTGGTATTCCATGTCTGGCAGATGTTGCTTTCAGCTTGTGTATCACAGCAGCGGTTGTTGTGGTGCGTAGCTTGTCAAGCTCAAAGTATCTGCTGTAATAGTCCACCGTGATTACGTAGTTCTCGCCGTTCCATGTGAATAGGTCGGTAGCGACGGTTTGCCATGGCTTAGTTATCTGGGATCTTGTGACTGATCATGGGCTCCTTGGTGTTGGAAGGTCTGTGCTCAAGACAGGTGTGGCACTTTCCAACCATCTCCTCGATCTGCTTGTTCATCCCTGGCCAAAATAGGATGTCTCGTGCTCTCTGTTTGCACTTCTCCATGCCCATGTGTCCGGCATATATTGTGGATAACATCTCTGTGCGCTCTATGATTTTCTGGAAAGAGTATCTGCAACAGGTCTTTTCCAGGTCTGTGGATGATCGTAAAGTTGTATCTCTGCAGTTGAAGTATCATTCTCTGTAGCCTTGGAGGTGCAGCTGCAAGTGGTTTCCGCATGATGGACTCAAGTGGCTTGTGGTCGCTCTCCACAGTAAAGTAACGTCCATACACATACTGGTGAAACCGCTTGCATCCGAATAGAATGGCGTACAGCTCTTTTTCAATTTGTGCGTAATTGACCTCACTGTCTGTTAACGGTTTCGATGCGTAGCTGATGGGCTTGCCCTCTTGTAGTAGGACTGCACCGAGTCCATACGTCAATGCATCAACTTGCAGCCTGATCTCTTTGTTGGGGTCAAAATATGTTAAGACTGGACCTGGCTCTCGTGTGATGAGCTCCTTCATCTTTCTGAATGCTTCGTCATGCTGTACATCCCATTTGAATTGAAAAGCATATGTGGACAACGACTTGCTATGACTGTGCCTTTTATTGACGGCTACATAACAAGAACCAGAGCACTGGATATCGTACATTGGTATGCAAGGCTTACACTAAGCATGCGCAGGGAAGGACTCTGTATGAGATAATAAAAAATCACACTCAATTATATCTAGCATCCAGTGGGGACAGTGGCTGCATCAAATACTGTCATTACATCTAGCATCCAGCATATTCTATGAGAATATTGCAAGCCAGTCGTCTCACTCTCCCCCATCCAAGTACTGGTGCTTTCGTGCACAAGATTAAAGACTGTAGGAAGTCTTTATTTTGGGGGTTGAGGCTAAAAACATCAAAAGAGTCACTCTGTAAAGATGAATATTATTATTTTTCTTATTCTTTCCTTCCAGCTGCTGTGAAAAGATGGAGGCCAGAGGAAGAGAAATTGAAGCAGCCTTCAGCATGCACCTCCAAGGACTGCAGGAATGGGATCTGAATCACAATAAATACAATTTTCATACATGTTTTTGTTTTGTTTTAAAGATGTAACGAGCATGCTGAACTTTTCCCTGAAGGTTGTGTTTCGTTGAAGAGTATCAAGCCACGTATTAATGCTCGGTTTGATGTTTGTGTAACTTAAATATTGACCTATTAAACCCAATATTGGTATCATTTTGACATAAATGCTATTAATAATGAAGTTGTGACCTGAAATCTATTAGATGTTTATCAGACTTATTGATCTTGACACAGTTTGAGGGAAAGTGTTCTTCTTTTCTAACTGTTGTCCATATGTGTTGAAATATAATTACCAACATGCATCGTCAGAAAAAGGTTCCTATCAGCAATAGACCTCGTATTAGACGTCTGATTGACGTCGAAATGTCTTCTGGGTTAAAGCAGAAACTGGAGTTACTATCAGGTCTGCTGTAGACTACCGTGTCCATCCAAAAGCTCCCAGCCGAGGTTTCTGTGCTGGAATTTCACTTGACAGATAAGAAAGTGACCGGAGCAAGAGTGTTTTGGCCAGAAAAAAGCAACAAATTAAAAAGGTTTTCTGCAATTCAGTTTAAAATGGCACCAAGAAAAAACTAAAGTAAAGAACTTTACAGTTCAAACACAAAGGAGTGTCAACACACTTCAGGTGCAAGACGCACAAAACTGAAATCTGTGTTTGCACACAAACAGGGATTGTTGGATTTATCATAATACCCACACCTGCATGTGACAACAATAGACACACACACGCAGTTTGATTCGCAACCTGCTCAACCGGTCCGCCAATGAAAGCAACATCAATAATGGCATTACGCCCGGCTGAGGCTATTTAACACGCCTTTTACAGACATCTCAGCCATCTTACAGAGAAAGTTTAGAATTAGATAAAAATTAATAACAAATATAACAGAAACAAATAATCGTTATCATACTTTGTCACTCATCCTTATCCTTCATCATTATCATACCAGCATGTCTTTACCAGCGTAAGTACACTGGTTGTACAATAATTTAGCCTGAAGGGGAGGTTGAGAGAGAAGTTCAGTAAAATGTCTGGTTCTTAAACTAACCAGATGTCTCTTCCCTGACACTCAAATCCTGAAACAAGTCCTGTGGCACAAGGTATTGTACTCAATTCTGATATATTTCTCAGATCAGATTTTTTTTTGGGAGGGAGGGGGGATCTTGTTTGGCTGTTCACATTACTTTATGAAAGTGGACCATATCATCCATATCCTATTCCAGTGTGAACACATCATAGTCCTGAAGTGACCTATATGAGGTGATACGACTGTTCACACTGAGGTCACATTGTAAAAAAATCCGACCTGTATCTAATTTGGACCACAAATAAAAGTTTCAGAACTGAAAAGAATTGATTTCATGTAATTTGTGCTGTTCACAGTGTCATGAAAAACACATCTGAATCAAATAGAAGGAAAAACTTCAAATAGGGTTGAGTCTCCCTCTCTTGTTTGTTTGTTTTGTTGCATCATTATGTTTTTATGTCTTTCCATCGTTTTAGTCTTGTTATGTCCATCATGTGTGATATGCAGCAGCCTGAAGGCGTGCAATAATGCAATACATAAATAAACAGATAATCCCCCTCAAGTACTAAAAACCAAAATACAGATGTTTACGCATAAATGTATGGAGTAAAGGTCAAAAGCTGTTAGAAAAAGAAAACAAAAAACATAGTTAAAAAGTATTTGTACTTTCCATCCATTCATTACTTTCCACCTCTGGTTCTCCCTGATTGGAAATGACTGGAACACCAAAACGAGGAGGTTAAATAAATACCTATCTTCTCCAGGTGGATAGTTCTTTACTTCTTTAAACTTTGACACCAATTGTCCTGAACTAAGAATAAGAAAGAATTTTTTTTTGCGTGTGTGTAAATTCAGATACACTTAAAGTACAGCATAGCTCCTTGTTGATAGTCCAAAGTCCCAATGATAACATCAATGTACACTTGTATATTCCAATAGAAAAACTGAATAGATCTGTATTGTCACAGTGCTATAGTGCACAACATAATAACAGCTTGTCAGCAGTAAACAATAAACATTACCACACTCTGCATTAGTAGCTGAGGAGGCTCTGATAAAAGTAAAAGTTCACCAGGAACCTTTTAAGTAATTTAGTCTTTGCTGGGCCTTGTTCACATGTTTACCGACCGTGTGAGGTCTGCTGTACAGGCATCAGCCATCCTGTACGGAGTGGTCTGCTCTGGACAGTGGCATCACCAGAGAGGGGGGGGGAGGAAGAAGCTCGGATAAGATCATCCAGGAAGTCCCAGCCTCTTCCTGGGCGCCCCTGTTGGGACCCTCAGTGAGGGAGGGGTTGGGAACCAGGAGAGTCCTGGCTAAAGTGTATCCCATGCTGGACAATGCAGTCCCACCCCCCCTGCATGGTGACCTGACAGAACTGCAGAAGGCCAGCTTCAGTTGACAGACTGCTTCACCCTTGATGTGTGAAGGAAACATCACAAGAAGGTCTTTCCCTTCCTTGCTGCCTGTTAGGCTCCACCAATGAACACTCCTTGATATGTGCACAGTATTAAACAAAAAACCAAAAACAAAAAAAAACAAACCAAACAAAAACCCCACCAGTTTGTCCACAGTCTGTGCAATGCTATTCTTTTTCCATTATTTATGTTTATAAGCTACTGCCTTTGGCTCCTTGTTATTTTTTATCTGCTCCTTGTTCATTTTTTATTCTGTCTTTCTGTATACTGTTGCAAACTGCCCAATTTCCCAACCCCCTGTGGGACAAATTAAAGGTTTCTTATCTTATCTTAATCCCCTTAAATCTGTGATATCCCAACCCGAGGAATTTATAGTCTTCACCCTACCATGTGAGAGGGTAATGGCAGAGGGCAGGTCCCGCAAATTTCTGCAACCCAGTCTCTATAAAACCTACCCCCCATGGGGCTACGTTGTCCAAAGTGCCCCAAAAAAATGTAAGAGGGGTTACAATAATGGCCTTTGGAATTGACCTGTAAATTGTTTCTGGCTATTCCTTTTCAGAATTGGTTTGCGCTCCAAGCTCCATCAAACCTGTGTCTCCTTGTTAATGAACGAAAACATGTATCTTGGCGCCAGGTTAGCTCCAAGTGGGTAGGCTGGCGCCCATCGTACCCGAAGGCAAGTCCTTGCTGCCCAAGGGTCCCAAACCCCGCCCTGTGGCCCTTTGCTGGCCATGTCATCCCCTCCTCTCCTTGCCCCCCTTTCACTGTTCTGTCTTCAGCTGTCACCATCATAAAGCAACAATAAAAAGCCAAAAAATTTAAAAATATGTAATCTCACATACGTGTTGTTACATAAACTGCAGTTTTTTTGTCTGTGGTGACTGCTGTTTAGCTTGGTATGGACACTGTTTTTGCACTAGTGCTTAATTGTCTGGTTTATCACAGAGTACCAGGAACATTTCCTTGTCTGCATCAATGGTCGGCAGTAAGACCAGCACATTTCTCTACATACACATCTTCCTGGGTAACCGTACACTTTCATGGAGAGAAAAGACAAACCAAACACCTGTTGCACCATAAAAAGGCATCTGACAAGGAACTGTGTGACATTTTATTCATCAGCATTATGAAGGTTGCTAAAATAGTATTCTTTGTTTGCTTTCAATTCTTTTCTTGAGTTTCCACTCAGTAACAAAACATCCAAGTTATCACGTATGTGAAAGCATTTACTAGGAATTTTTATTTCCTTGCAAGCTTGGATTTTGTTTATGTGCCGCCAGGAAAAAAAAAAAATCTAGCATTATAGAATTATTTATTATAAAACAGGTTGACAGATAATATAGTTCATTTACAGTATTTATCATGCTATGACATAAAAGGCAAATGTAAAGTGATAAAACGAGCGTGGACCCTAGAGTTGTAACAAAGTTAAGGCTTAAATGCATATAAAATGGAAAGTGTTCATTCATAAAACAATGGTAAAAGGAGTATTCAAAGAAGTGTGATACTTCAGTTATATAGTTATATCTGAAAACCCAGAACCCATTAATTCCAGGGCAGTAACACATCTGTCTGTGTGGCAGCAGCAGAGGTGGTGCATTTCAGTCTTATCGCTACATTTATTTATTTGCACACTCAGTCAAATACAAAGTGGGCAAAAAAAAAGCACTGAGTGCATCATTCAATCTAATAGTAACAATAATCATAAATATTGTGATGAATTTGGCAAAATAAATGCTATAAATTATCAGATTTTCACAGGGTTTTGATTTTACAAAAAATTTACAAAAAATACACATTCTTTCAGTATTTGAAAGCTCTCTCTTTCATTGACTCAGTTAAAGTTTCAGTTCAGTTTTTCAGGTTTGTGGGATGATTATTATGAAACAGTTTTTTTAAACTTGTCTAGATAAAGCTTGAGGACTGCCTTGAGCATATATCATAACATTACAAAATATATGTAAAAGAAAATATGTCCATCTAATTGTGAGTCACACATCCTGTTCAGGGCGATGTTGGTAGTAGAGTGAAAATGACTCGAACAAAAATGTTGACACATTATTTACGTGTGCTTTATGGCCACGTGATTGATGAAACATTGCAAACACTGACATAAAAAGTGGCACGTTATACATGAATACACTTTATATAAGCATTCACCTTTATGTTCACTTGGCAACCCAGCTAACGGAAGACTATTTCTGATGCAAATATATTTTTGTTTGCAAAGACTTGAGTAAAGAAAGTAAAATAAGGACCATATAAAAAAGACAATGTAATTTGTTGTAACACAAAAAGTTAAAAAGATTTTTAATGTAGCTGCCTGGAGCATTTTTTTTTCTGTGAAGTCACATAGAAAAAGAAATTTTAAGGCCTGTCATTTCCAGGCCTGAAAGTGCTGAGAAGTCATCTTTGGATGTCCCCAATAATACTATCTGGTCAGCATGAAAGAAAAGGAGGATATACTCATTAAAAGAGCACCTCTTCACAAGATACTTGTACAATCTGGCACATTTTTGGAACCCATTAGTGGGTTCAAAGTCCATCAGAGGAGCGCAGATATCACAGGAAATGTCTCTGATGGAAGGGCAGGAAATGGGTTTAGCGCTCAGATGAGGGAGATCCGTATAGGGATGGAAGGAGAGTCTGTCCTGTGGTGAGGGGAGTGATGGGACACCACATGTTCTACCATTGTGTGTTTGGACATGTGCTTCATAAGGTACGTCTCCTGGAAGAAAAAAAAAAAAAACAAGAGAAAAACAACACTTTTAGACATCCCCTCTGCAGTTAGTCCAGATCTTAAAAGCGTAACCTGGCTGTCAAACTCACCGACGTGTACGCCCGGCCGCACATGCTGCAGCAGTAGGCCTTGGCGTTTTTGATGGCGTGTGCAGACAGGTGGATCTGCAGTGAGGCAGAGTCCGAATAGGCACGGTAACAGTTGGAACATTTAAAAGGCTTGTCTTTGTTGTGCTGCCTCTGGTGAGACTTCAGCATGGAAAACAAAACATACACAAACTCAGTCACCTTAATGCAGCATTTCAGAGGGTATTGCCTCACAGTCTTGTCACAAATTCATCCAAACTGGGGGGGAGGTTTAATGTTTACCTGCAGATTAGACAGCTGAGTGAAAGCTTTTTCGCATCCTGGATGGGCACATTTATACGGCCGATCGCCTGTGTGGATTCTGAAACAGGAAACAAGACACAAACGTTAGCAAACTGGAACTGGAAGTTCAGCATTCAACAGAATCTGGGTGCACAATCAACCCCCTCCCTTTTACGCTCTACACCCGTGACTGCAACCCCCCCGATCGGCATTGAGACAACTCTAGTTTGCAGCCCAGGACAGGGAGGGATCTGCAACGAGTAATTAAAACCGCCCAGAAGATGGTATGGTATGCTATTGGTGCAAAACAGAATTCTTCACAGGCACTTTGTTATAGGCTATATGATGTCTACAACATGGGTGTAATTATATCCTGCAATAGTAGTGCAAACAGTTCCCAGACCATCTGTAATGATTTTTTTTATCTTAACAGTATATAAGAATTACTACAAATAACACCTCACTACAAATGAATGTGACTCAAGTGTCCATTTAAACAAAATCCTTACAAGGTATTGAATATTTTATGTAAATTACACTTTTCCAAACAATTTCAGTGGTTTGAACCAATTTGCATTTACTGAGAATGCACAAATACCTTATATTGTTAGTGTCAGAAATGTGCTCATTAATACATTTTTTTAAAAATTGTCTCTATTGACACAGCAGACACTACAAGAGGGAAGTGAAAAGGGGAGAAAAGGTGTTTTTTCTTGAATTAATTAAGTAATTTGAGGGCACTAATGTACTACTAATGTGTGGATAAACTGTAATCTTTAGTGTGTGTATATATATATGTCATGAACAGACTGTGACGAGTGTAGAGGTCAGACCTGGTGTGCTGCTGCAGATGGGAGAGCTGGCGAAAACATTTCTCACAGTAGGAGCAGCGGTACGGTTTGACACCCAGGTGTATGCGCAGGTGCTGGGCCAGGTACGATGCGTTCGCAAAGGACTTAGTGCAATGAGGACACTTGTGAGCCTTTGCCTCTGTGTGCGTTTTGGAGTGAATCTGCATGTCTGACTTGGAGAAGAAGGTCAGTGGACAAACTTTACACCTGTAACAAGAACACAGACAGAAGATGCACAGTGAGTGAAAGTGGATGCACAGGACGTCTCAATTCATGAAGAAGAACTTTCACTTTAAACTAAGTCACGATTTAAAAAAAAAAGTTATTTAAGGCTGCCAGCAGTATTTATATGGACCTTCTGTGTTATGCATTGTGTCTGTCAGTGGTGATCAGTACTTTACTGAAGTACTTTAAACTTGTAATGTTTACTCCATTACATTTTTACTAGTTATTCTGCAGATAAACAACATATACAAAGCACATAAAACTTATTTTCTTTACTGCTTGGAGTATTTTTGCATAGCTTTCTTGCATTTCTACTCAACCAAGTAAAGACGTACTTTTTTCATTGGAATATAACATCCATAAGTATGTTTTCATTTGTGTATAATCACCAGGAAATCTACATCTAGAGAGAAAAGCCATATTTCTTTAGTCGCCCAGAAAGAAAACACTAATAGCACAATCTAGATAGGGCACGTCTTTCAATTACGCAGCCACCGTAGTTTCTCCTGCATGCTTTGTTGAGGTGAGCGGTTTCAG